TCCCCAGTATTGCTTTTATTGGTTATTCCTTTTAAAATGAGTAAAAAATACTTACTATTTTACCCTTGATATCACTATCATGCCGTTAGATTGATATAATTAAGTCCAAAAGACACTGAGGAGAACCTGAACACTTGTGATTTTTGTTAACCCAACCTTCTGGTTTCAACCATTGGTCTTTTGAGGATCACGCAAGGAGGCTCATCGTGCTTGCTCATAATGTCTGTTGCGATATAATGAGAATCATGTTCTCAGATTATACATCAATATCAGTTGCTGCAAAGTGGTGGATCATAGATCCAGTCAACACTCTCTGATGACTTACTCATCGAGTATCGTGTCAACAAAGATATGACATATTTTCTTGATTGTCTGAAATAGCAATTTATTTGAAGGCCATTTCACGCCTCACAAGTGCTCAATGTGTCTTATCACAGTTTCTTCGTTTTGTATTTCAACTGATTTTATATACAATAGAAGACATGCAAGCTCCGAGGAGGGAATTTGGATCAGGTTACTGGTTTGTGACGGGGACCAGAGGTAAGAGTATGGGCTTCGGGTACCATCGGTTTAGAAGCCGGTTTTCTATGATTGCAAAATAGAAAATGAAGATTAAACGAGACGTAGGCGATGGGCATTATAGGATGCTGGCTAGATAACTTTTGTAGTAGAGAGCCAAGAAGATCTTAGGCTTCCTAGATAGAAGAAGCTAGGGTGTTAGAATTGATCAGATTTTACGTTATTTTTTGATATTCACATGAGAGAAAAAGCAGTTAATGACATCATTCATTTTTATCGTGCAAAAGAAAAATCTCTAAAATTCTGTTTTTATGTAACTCGAAGCAAGTGTGTTTTGTTTACACTGATATAAATGTATCCGATATCATTACTTATCTTTCTAAATAGGCTTTAAATACTAATCATGCACAGCTCACGCAGCCATTCTACAGAACATCACTTCATCTGCTACTTCCGTTATTACAAGTACTAATATTTCACTTAACTTAAACCACTTATCTATTTTGGTTACAATTGGCCTGATAATTTTTTAACATTTGGATTCAGGTACCACTTGGGGGACCTAGAGTGGAGTGATCTGTCAATAGCCCCTTGCTTTAGCGAAGCAGCTGGATATCATTCATTTGACGTACCTCAAGGGCAGGTGAGTTGAGAAGAACATGGGTGGACTGAGTGACGTCAGCTGCATGCAAGGAATTGTGGTATGGAACGTCCTTCAAATAGTGGTCTTCAAGGGTCATCATAAATGTTATGAAAGTCTTGGGCGGAATTTTGAATGTCTTTAGCAAATCACGTTCCTGTAGGAGAAAGAAATGGCAGTTGATTATATTGATTTGGTTGAAGATCTTTGAATGTTCATAGTGGCAGTAGTAGAGGAATGGCATAAAGAAAAATTAAGAAAGGCAAAAGAAGAGGATCAGAAAGAAAATAGAGAAAATATATATATCTTACAATCTATAAAGAATACATTCAATAATTCACAATAACTACACAGGCTATGTGGGTATCATGCAATTTATTACAAGTCTCAGTGATATAGAGGTTATAACAGCCGTATAACTTTGAATAAGATGCAAGTTTTATCCACTTTTCATTCACACTTACCATGAAAATAGTATATGTGATGGTAGTTAAAGGTTTTCTATTTGATAATTCAGCTATCCTGTAGATATCAATGCCCCATTTGTCTATATCTTCTAGAATCTGAAAAGAGAAAAGGTTTACGTAGTTTAATCTTGACCATAAGCTGTGTCTTTATTTTTATGTCTTAATAACTATGGTAGTGTTTTTTGGTCGTATATGTATGTGGTGTATTTATGTATGGATATATCTGTATATAAATCATATTTGTATGCATTTGTTGTCACTTACGCATAACAAATACAAATGCAGAGATACGTATAATCCATTACACATATATTTTATGAGGTTTTCATTTAGTGTGTGTGTATATGTATATGTATATGTATATGTATATATATATATGTATATATATATATTATATATATATATATTATATATATATATATATATATATATATATATTATATATATATATATATATACATATAAAAATATATATATACAACACATATGTGTGTAGGCTAAGTGTGTGGGTGTGGGTGTGTGTGTGTGTGTGGGTGGGTGTTGGTGTATGTGGATGTGGGATTGTGGGTACTTACAAATTATAAAGTCCTCCTTTTTTTAATACTGACAAATTTACATTAAAACTAGAAATTAAACAATGAAAATGTACTCCAATGTTTAAAGGAATCATTTATATACATGTTAATCTCAGTCATAAGAGACATTGTATGAAGAGAATCTATATGGTTACATCTGATGATATAAATACCTAAAAAAAAAAGATAGCTCAACTATTTTAGGCCTACTATTTTATTACATCACAAATATTCTTTTATCATATTTACAAATACTTTTTTTACTACCAAAGTGTGACTACGTGTATTTACTGTTTAATTTAGCTTATAAGAGAAAAAGTAAGTTTTTCATCTAGTTACAAGTTGAAAGAAAATAAATGGATTTATGCTGTATTGGCATGATATATGTACTACAACAGTGCAAATAGCCAAGAAAAACTGTATCATCCAAAACTGCCTGTAAACAGTTACAAATCTAGGGTGCATTGAGCAGTATGTCATGCTTGAGTCTCATAAACATGTTACTGTTTAGTGATGGCACGTGCATGTGTTTCCTGTATGTTTAGAAAGGACTCTTAATGCTCCAGTTCATTTCTAAGTCCAAGTTGTTATACGTCTCAGGATTCAGACCAAACATTAAAAAAAAAAAAACTGTGATCAGTTGACTCTGAATCAAGTTTCTGAATGACTGAATGACGCTGCAGTCTAGATATGTCTCTGGGATTGCAATAGTGATGTAATCTTTGTCATGTAGTGTTAGTGTGTTGCAAGCATGTATGTCTGTAAGGCTGTGCATATACTGGAGGCTACGGGAAATTGTTGTATTGAACTGTCTAGGAGGTGCTGTTTCTGGGTCATAAAGGAAAAAAAAAGGAAGTTAACAGAAACAACATATTCTGCTGAAGTTTTACAAATGAGAATCCTAAATAACCTAGAAAGTGTTGCAGCATGGGAATGTTGTGACAGTAGAAAGAAGGAGCCTATGGAGGTGAGAAAGCTTGCAGTTGTAAAGAGCCATGAAGCTACAGGGAAAATATAACTTGTATGGTTGATTAAAAAGAAAGGAAAAGGAAGTAATGTGACAGTGATCATGAATTAAAGAGAGTGTGGTGAAGAAATGCAAAGGAATAGAGTTGAGAGGGAAAGGAAGCTATTGATGAGAGCAAGTGAGGGTTGAAGGTTGCATGGAGATGAAGGAGCTATGGGTGGTGTTCAGGTAACCAAATTACCTCCTCACTTATATCCTCCAGCTGCCCAGAACACAAACACATAAGAAGTAAGTAAGAGATAATGCATGTCTTGATAACATCGGTATGCACACAAAGAAGGTCCCTCTATCACAGTATTCTTTTTTTTTATTAACAGAACATGAAACATGTTATTCAATGTAATATTCAACATATAAACTAACACAAAAACACTGGTTGGAAATATAGGGCAGTATGTTTGCCTATTGACACAAAGTATATCCTCAAACAACTTACCTTTCCTCCACATTGTACATGAATCAGATTTACATGATACAAGGACTTCTGGCTAAGATGCCTAACCAATGTACATCCCATTATTATGCATGACCTTCAAGAATACTAAGGAATATACTTTAAATCAAATAATGGCAAGGGGAGATAAGATTCACAGAATTAAGTTATGGCTTAAAGACTGGGATGCAACTACGGTCCATAGACGTTATTTGCCGATTCTCTCGGAGATCAAAATTTAATATAGGAATTCCTCATGAGTCCTACAAATTTACCGACCTTTGTAGTGACGCATCCAATCAAGGATGTTCTATCTTCCCTTTACCAAATTCTTCACGTATATAAACACACACTGACAAGGCCAATTAACAAAAAGGCCAAAGCCTCTCTCACCTTGCCCAGTTCCTCCTCCTGACGGGTATCGACGCCGTACTTGGGCAGCCTCTCGCCCGAGAAGGAGTTGGCATGTAGGAGCGGCTTCTTGACGCCCTGTATCTGTGACATCGACACATCCTTGATACCAGTGGTGGCAACGACGCTACCGATATCCGAGGTGGTCGTGGTCGTGGTGGAAGGCAAGGCGGCTACCACTGAAGCCTCTGGGACGACTGCCGACGAAGGGCCGCTTGACAGGTTGCGTTCCTTCCTCTTGGGTCGTTCGCCATCGTCCACCCTCAGGCTCGGGATGTCGAGCTCCTGTTGTTGGTCTGAGGAACAAAAGGGGTGGGGTCAGTAGTGGGAAGAGAAGGGCTCGTGGGGAAGGAGAACAGCAAAAAGAATAAACGAATGGAAATAGAAGAATGGATGAAAGGACACGCGAGGACCCAACACGATGAAAATGGAAGGAAGAAATTAATAAGAGCAAGGGGAAAGTGATACATGTGAAACCCAAGGACACGGATTCTTGTCGCACAGACAGAATTAGAAAGAATTGAAAAGAAAAGACGAAATCGAGGAGATCAAAGGGAGGGAAACAAGCATCCCGAACAAAGACGAGTCAACACCTTAATGAATTCCGAAAGAAGGAAGGAGAGATAAGAGATGCAACTGCAACTATTGGATATTTTTCTGCTAACTACTCGTCCTTATTCACCTGTTGCCGATTCAGTACCTCTACTTCTATTGATCTTTTCCTCGCTAATGTAATGTAAAATCCTTAAAATTATTAGATAAAAGTGATAATAATGATGACAATGCCGATGAAAAATAATGGTAATAATAGTTATATAACAATAATTTCAGAAGAGTGGTGAGTTTTCAATAGCAACTTCATCTCGTGTTTGCTTTCATATGATTGTCTCCCGCGTAATCCATATTTTGCCATTTTATTTCCTACTTTAAATGTGCACGCAAGAGGAGAGGCAGAATTGAGATGCCAGCGTGGAAAGTTCCCACAGGAAACTGCACATACAGCGAAGGGGAAGGTCGGCTGTGTTGAGATAGGGCATACATGTTCGGGTAATAGGAAAATAGAGCAGGCAGACATTTCTTCCATTGGAGAGGCTGGTGCTCCCTCCTCCCCCCCAAATGCTCATCCAGCGAAATGGGAGATGTCATTTTGCCTAAGCGGGAAAAGGATGAATCTTTACTCTCGGTGAAACGGTAGTCCTTTATTCATCCGTTTTCATACGGTATGTATATGTATATATGTATTTTATATCGGTATGGTTGAAGTTCAGACTGTGAATGTGTGCAGAGGTATATTTCGCCCCGCTCAGCGCAACTCTGCTTGACCGTCACGTGAGGTTGCCATGCCATTGGGCAGAGCCTTCCCCTCTCCACTTCTCGTACGTCCACTTCCTTCCTCGTTTATGGATGGCGAGACCACACTCTACTCGTCCATCCTCCTTTTCCTAGCGCTTTCCGGCATTTGGCCCCTTGGGGCGCAGCGTCACACTGCCGTGTTGTCGTGGTGCTGCTTATTGTGTTGGCACAGTACCAATCGTCAATACCATGATCACAACACTACATGTTTCCCTTCCTCCTCCTTTCTCTCCTCTTCCATACCCAGGGCACCTTTTCCTTTTCTCCTCTTCCTTCTAATCACTCATCTCATCTTTTTTTAAATCATTATCACTCGCCCTTGATGCAATGCATCATTAATTTTTTCCTGCCGATTGCAAATGGTAGTCTTCTCCACAGAGACCGAAAATGCACCGATCTAGGTCCACAAACCTGTCCTCCTTTCTCGTCTCTACCTCCTCCGTGCTTAAGTCAGGCCTCCTTCCTCCTCTGTTCTCGGTTACCAAGAGGGAGCTCTCCGGCCCATCACCCCATTCCCTCTGTGACGTCAGTCTACTGGTAGCCACAGGCTAAACATCTTCGGTCCCCCCTCCTCCTTGCTCTCCCTGCTCTCCTTCGCCTGTTGCGTTCCCTCTCGCGTGCTTCCTCTTCCTTTCTTCTTCACGCTCCGCTCTTCCCCTCGCTTGTGATCCGTGGCCTCTCCTCTCCTCGTTCTCCGGGAACTGCTATAGAAACGCTCGATGGACGCTCTCTTCCTACTCGTGATCAATGAATCCTCCTCCTCTGATCATTTTTGTGCTCGCGTCCTCTTCCTCTCCTCCATTCCTCTTTCCTCTCTTCAGTTAACATCCATCTCATACCCTCTCGCAAATACTCTACCTTCTACTCGCGTCGTCTTCCTTCCTCTCCTTTCGGTTTAATGGGTTAGCTGCCTGTCGTCACAAACTGATGTGAAAGACATCTAAGTTGCGGCTGTGAAAACCTGCGGAACCATGCTAACACCTATACCCCATGTTCCTTTTCCCTAGGTACTGCTTCACTTCACCACACACACCACACCATCATACCCCTACATCACAGCCACACACAACACACACACACACACACACACACACACACACACATTTCACGACATTCCACACACCACACACACACACACACACCTATCACTTACCTCCCTACCCACTTTACTCTAACATCACCCTGCTTAATATCCAGCTGTTTCCAAACTTCTTTACGTACCGTCACCTTGTGTTCGTATCGTTACGGAAAATGATGTGTTCCTTCTGAATATCCTTTACTCACTTTTTACCATTACATCTTAGGTGAATAACTTTCTGCCTTGCCTCCATGGAAAGTCTAGGTGCTCGGAATAATTTCAGTTTTTCCCCTTTGCTCCCTTTTCCAATTTTGTTTTCCTGTGCTTCTTTCCCTTCCTTTTTCCCATGTTTGCCGTTAGTTCGCCGAATATGCGCTCTTTCCTCATACAATAAGGTGTTTGTGTACCGTGACTAAACGACAGTATCCTTCTATCTCGTTATTTTCTCTTTCTTCTTTCCTCTTATCACATCCTGCTGCTTTACTATTTGGATTCCGAACCTAAGCACATTCTCTCTCTTCCTCCCTCTTCCTTCTATTGCACTCTTTCTCTTCCCACTCCTATCTCTACCGTCGCCTCTACCTATGTCCCTTCCCTGAATTCTCACCATTCGAATATGCCCTTTATATAGAACTTTAATGTACTACTATTCTCACCAAACGATTAGCATCACGCACCTTTACAGCTTAACACTTGCAGACTCCCCCTTCGAGTTAAGCGTCGCCCCTGGTCGATGCGGCGCCATCCCCGGCTCGCGTCCCCGAGTGTGTCACGCGGCTAACTCGTGCACGCTTGAGGTGTACCTCGCTTCTGACGTGCCCAGGCGCCCCGCATCGATGTCTCGAGCGTACCGTCACGACCTCGCACGAGACACTCGCACCCTATTCCCTCTCCCGCACCTTGCACCGCCCTCTCGACCGTACCTCCCGTGCACTGCTCCCTAGTCACCTTCTCTCTGACCTCCCCTCCCTGATCTTCTCGCGATCGCCACTACTCTCTCTACCCTCTCGTATGTTCCCGATCTTGCACTCGCCTCTTTCTCCCCCTCAAATGCCCACGCACCCGACCGACCCCCGCACTCCCCCGGCCTTTTCCTTCCCTCCGTCACTCCGTTCCAGTTCAGTAGTGAACAAAGGAAAAAAAACTATCCAGGTTCGAAATTTTGCCGAGAGAGAGACAGAGACGCGTATTCTTTTGAGATGGGCCGGGTCCTCGGAGCAATCGCGCGAGGAGATGATGGTTTGGAGGATATAAAGATTAGAAGACGACCCTAGGAGGCGGTGAATTGAAGACAAAGGATGGAAAACCTCCGACTTGAGGCCGGCCCGAGGAGGAGAGAGAGAGAGGAGAAAGCAGAGGCGTAGAGCTAAACTTATTTGAACTAGGACCGCCCCGCGCAGGACAGACATACAGACAGACCAGAGAGAGCGAAGAAGAGAGAGATACAATGAGTTGTTGGTCTCTCTCGACGCTGGGGGGACTGACAGAATCTTTTTTTAGATTTTGGCGGTTGCAGGGCCCGTTTGGACGATATTGAGGTGTAAAAGTTTCCTGGGGATGTTGGGAGTACGGGTCGTTGGAGGGGAGTTAACGAAGGGGCTGCGTTTATATGGAGCAACTCGGCGAGTCTTTCGAACTTGTGGCACACAGGGTGGGCAAATCGACCGGGGAGCAAGGCAACAAACCGCCGGCTTTTTCCTACATTACGGATCGGCGGGATTTCAGAGCGAAAGGAGTTTCGCCGTTTTATTATTGTGACTTTCTCTTCTTCGTGTCGTTCGGGGAATGAGAAGGTGTTTTTGGGTTCAGGCAGGTCCGAGGCGTTCTCTTGCAGATATTCGGGGACGGGGCGCTGAGTGGAGGTGTTGGATATTTGGAGAGGGTTAGGGCGGGGGCGTGTGTCTCTCGGAGGGTTTTTTGTTGGGATGTGGAGACGCGGCATTAAGGGGGAATGAAGAGAGGGGTGCTTGGGGTTGGGGTGACCCACTCGTCTAAAAGGGGCCGAGCCAAGGCGGATGAAGGTTCGCGCGTAGGTGAGGTGACTGGGGACGGCCTAAAACCGACACCACCGGGCCTCGAAAGAACAATTAATTACGGTGATCGGGGAGTATTGTTCGCCAGTAAAGTCAGACATCGGAAAATTATACCACACACTCTGCTGGGTAGGAGGGCATCGGAGCGTGTTTTTGAGAATGTTAGGTTTTAAAGGTTGGTCGTGTGAGATTCGTCGGGGTTGCTGGGGAGTCATATTGGTAAGCTCGTTTAAGTCTTAAAAGTATAAGAATTGGGCTTCGAAAAACCGTAGAGAATTGCGAAACATTTGGGTGGGAAACTGCCAAAAAAAAAACAACAACTACAAAACAAACACAACAAACAATCTGCGTGATACATACATTTGAAACATTGGTGGGGGGAAACTCTGCCAAAAAACAAACAAACAAAACAAAGACAACAAACAATCTGCGTGATACATACACTTACGAAGTGCGCTAAACTCGACAATCGATTTTTTTTTCTTTTTTTTTTTTTTTTTTCTTTTTTTTTTTTTGCATGGTGTTGGCCGTGGAGAGAAGAGGCGTGTGTGTTAAGACGTGGTTTGGTAGAATTGAGGTTTGCTTGCTCTGTTTATGAAACGGTGTAGTATGAACTTTTGTTTTTTTTGTGGGAATTTGAATGGAATGCCACACAGGTTTGGTGAAAGGTGTGGGGATCTTTAAGGTGAGGTTGGAGTGTCGACTGACCTACACTTCGGATTAAACTAGGATTTTATCACGCTGGTGCGACTTGGGGCCTTTCCTCGTCTCTAGATCACCTGTAGAATTATGTATATGACTTAAATTATGTGTTGAAGTTCTGGTAAGATTG